ACTATTAAACATTGGGAGGATTAAATATTAGGGGGGAATATTTATGAGGTCGCTGACCCTGGGACCCTGCAGTTTCAGGTTGTCAATTAAACACTGTCAGGGACCATTACAGGTAGGCGAAGAAACAATTGTAGTATTAATATTACTTTAAATATTTAAGTACGGTTTATTTATATAGTTAATTAATGTCCCCAACTCAGCACGTACAATTCTGATATCCACCATGACATTTGCAGATAACCGACTACTATTGCGGCTGGCGCTAGCTAGTTTTTCGGTACAGGTGAACAGGCAGTGAGCGTAAAGCGTGATAACCTTTCTTCTGAAATTTCAGAAGCAGTACATTTTACCCATTCTCGCAGTGCACTAGTTTTCACTTAAACGCAGCGACTACGGCATCCGCATGGGAATAATGATACTCACGTCAAATTTGGTCTTGTGCCAAAGTTTTGGTTGCGGAGTATGTCCCTATCCAACTCACCCGTCGCGTTTTACCCGATTGGTAAGCAAACCATGCTGAACACGCAGCCTTTCCTAACTCTCAGCCAACTCAGATGCTTCAACCGCCCAAGCTATGGCCTGAAGCTGCACCCAAATTGACCATTGCAATGCCAGATGCCTCCTGCTATACACCGACGGATCTTCTCACGCTTCTCAATTGGCTCATTCTTAACCAATCATTGATAGCTCTGGCATCGCCCCAACCCCTGCCTGCTACAGCGACGTTTCAATTTTCTCTTCCGCCCCTCCTTCACACTACTTCCAGTGCAGTTACTCTCCAAACCTCCAGCAGCCAACGACAGCAGCAGAGTCCGCACTACTTTCCTGCCTTTAATGCGCCTCGATCTACGTGATTATCTGGTGTTTCTCATTTTGTAATGGCCCTCTTCCTAGCCTATCAATCAGACGCAGTCTAATAAAGTATTTTCAGTGAACATGGCTTGTGAATATCAGTGCAAAATGGTGGACCAAGGGCCAGTCGGCAAAAGAGAGAAACGACAGCTGATGTAGATGTAAAGTTGGCAATAAATGACGCATGGAAGGGCACTCGACTTAGGCAGGACTGACTGATGACGGCAAACGAGTCAGAAACTTCTATTCTTCGCTGGCAATGTTCATCTACTTGTGCTGCTAGCCGCTCTGCGGCTGCCGATCGGGCCCGAGAGTGTTCTAGATTGAGGAGACGAAACTTTGTTGGACACTGGGATCATAGTTTTATTTGTCTGAGCTTTCGAACTCCTACAGGAGTCCATCGTCAGAGAAAGGCAACAGCAACAAAAAGCAAGCTGGCTATGGTGTGTGGGATTTCTGCCTTTCAGTTTATACGAAGCAAGTTCCTCTTACACAAAAAGGCTCCCGAGTATTTATTCAGTCCGTCCCATTAGTTGCTAATCATCAGGGTGCTACTCTGTGCTACACTACAAACAAACATACTACTCGTTTTTATTTGCACTAAAAGATCACATTAGGAATATGTCAAACTGGATATGCAGTGAACGTCTTGTGCGCTGCAATTCCGCGAACGCCTCACCTTCTCAACAATTCATATTTCCAAAAAACATTTCTATGCAATTTTGCACAACAAAAGCGATTTGTACCAATGTTTGCATATTTCACAAAAACTTATGCATTCCTGTACCATTTTCATTGAGTTTTTAAGGGCTTTGGTAATTTACTCCAAATATACTGACAGATACAGACAGTGTCCGTGTGTTGGAGCGCGGAAACCCCGCAAATGGTCTTCTCCCTTTTATGCCCACCACCTCGCGCCGAGTAACACGTGTAACGAACCACCCTGACCCTCGTTTGTTTTAATTGGTTTTTTTGGTTGC